AGTTTATATAGAATCGAGGCTCTGAAAGATCAAATTAGAACCCACCTAAAAAATTTCATTAGAAGAGGTTGCTTTGATACCCAAATCTCCTCAACTTGATCATCTCGATATCAAGATGCATGGACATGAGAAAAAAAAATGAATTTTAAGTTTTGGAAATAGTGCATATTATAACCCATTTTTTTACTGTCAATTTTCAAGATTTGATAGATCTACTCGATCGACACTATTTTTTAAGCTTTAAATTTTATAATTACAAATGAAAATATATTTTAAGATACGAAAATTTTTAGTATTGAAACCATATTTCTCGACACTATATATATATATATATATATATGGAAGGTTAGGAAATAGCCACAATGAAAGCACACGAGCTCTGCAACTTCTTCCCCAATGCGAAGCTTTAAGCTAGCCTCTTGAGAGAACCAGTTCTCTTGGTAAACGTCTATACCAGGGTTGGGTAGAGAGAAATAGGGAGGCGAGGGTTGGGTAGAGAGAGAGGATAGGGCTACCAGGTCTGCTTTCTCTTTATTAGAGGTCGGCTTTTTTTAGTAGAGGACGCGTGCCAAATGGATTACGCGTCAGACGCGTAAGAGATTTTTTTTTAGCCCTCTTTATGGGATGCATGATTTTTTTGTGAAATGGCTTATAATTTATTTCCATTTCCTCAAGAAATTTCTAGCAATCGATTTTTATTTTTTTATTATTAAAGTGTATATAGATCTTATGTTTTTTTTCTCAAAAACAAACTTTATGCAAAAATATCCCTAAGAGAAAAGTTGATTTTTTAGATGGAAATGAGTACACAAAAATCATTTTGGTCAGATTTGACATTGGCTTTTGGACCCATAGCACATTGTCGGAGTGCACCATCCCATCGCCAGACCGCCTTTATAAAGTGCCGGACCGCTCTAAGACAACTACAGTTCCGAAAATGAGTACTACCGGACCACCTTTTGCTCAGTATCGGAGCCCTCCCTTTACATAGTGTCAGAGCCGTAGAATCCAATAACATCTACTGTTGGACCGCATTTTGCAGCTACCGAACCACCCTTTTCAACTACTGGACCGCAATTTGTAGAGGTAAGAAAGGACAAGTTAGATAACTTTTTTTTATTTTTTTTGACTAGGGGTCATAGAAAATGTATTTTGACAAAAAAAAAAGTTAAGTTGACTGTAAATTACATAGAAAATATAGTATTGGGATTTTTTTTAATTTTCTCTAAAATCTTTATTGGGTTTAAGGGGTTGTACGTAAAAAGAAGTTTTAGGTTTTGAAATTTATTGGTTTATTGAGACATCTTACACTAATTTGCAATTTAGAGATTTTTTCTCAATTTAAAAAGATGAGGATCTTTGGTCGTTGGCTCAAAAGCGTACGCATTAAAAGTGGCGGGCCTCCCGCACAATAATAGACGCTCACGGATTCCCCTTGGACCCCCAACTCCCAACATGAGACTTTACCTTTTTTTTACCAAAATTCAGTGCGTTACATTCATTGCTCATTCTCTCGTCCTCCAATTATTCCATAATTTCTGCCCGCAAATATGGACATGAGTTTTTTATGTTTTTATATGTTGAAAAACTTGGATCGGTCTAGTCAATAGGCTATTTTTAAAGAAAAAGTTTATATAGAGCCGGGGCTTTAAACAATCAAATTAGAATGCATCTCAAAAATTTTAGTCAAAGAGATTGTTTCGAGGTTCAAATATCTTCAAATTGATAATATGGACATCAATATGTATAGCCACAAGAAAAAAAATGGATTTCAATTTTTGGAAATAATACATCTTATAATGTATTTTTGAACTGTCAATTTTCAAGAGTTTTCATAATTCAGCTAGATCTACACTATTTTTGAAGCTTTAAATTTTATATTATTAAAAATAAAAACATATTTAAAGGCTATCACAAATATTTCCAGTATTAAAACCACATTTCTTGACTATTTTTGAAGGTGTGCCCTACTTTGATTGTTTAGAACTTTGATTATGTACAAACCACGCTCATCTTTAAAATCAATTTGTATATAAGAAAATTTGTCAAAAAAATTAAAAAACAAATAAAAAGGTGGGAACCAAGATTATCCAGTTCTATGAGAGAACCCAAATTTGCCTAATTCTATAAAGAACCGGCCCATTCTCAATTCCAACTAAAAACCAATCTGGTTTTCAATCTAGATCTAACAATTCCAATCTAATTCCCTGCTTTTCCAAATCGCCAAAGGTTTAAAAAAACATATCATTTACCTGGATTGTCGACCCAAAAAATTGTGTCGGATTGGTGGATACAACTTAGTATATAAATGCACAGCTAGGTATAAGAAAGGTGACAAACATAAACTTTCCCTGAAGTCATTCCATGCCGAGGTGATGACTTTTAGCTTTTCCTTAACCCATCTCATGTCGAGGTAACGCTCATGCTTGCGTTAGATAGGTAGCTAATGTAAAAATTTACCAAAACTTATCATGAATCGTGTTAAACTATTATACGCAGCCAAATCTCGATATATTATGATAACCCAATATGGATAAGCTCAAACTGGTTGGTTCCGAAGGTACATGTCTGGATCCTTATATATTATGAGATCCAAACGATTTGGATCTAGATGAAACAATTTAGATCCGAATATTTTTTAAACGGATTTTAAAATCACTAAACTCACGTCCGAGTAAGTCACACCCGCATTCAGAGCGTCTTTCGAACGGTGACCCTAGGTTTTTGTCTGCCTGCGCACGGAATCTTCCAATTGCGGAAAAGGTTGAAGCGTCAAGGTAAAAGCCTGGAGACTCGTAATAATCACTCTCTGCAAGTCTCTGTCGGTGCCGAAAATCATGGCAGTAACCGCTTCAGAAGGGCATTGCCACTCCTCTTCGTCTCTCACTCTTCTTCCTCTTATTATTACTCCTTCCTTCCTCTTGAGGGAGAAGAGCTTCAAGACCTCTCTCTTACCCAACAAAAGGTAAAAAGAGAAGGTTGGATTATTGTTTTCTGGGGTCATGGGGTCCGAGGATAAGAAGAAGGAGAATGTTGTTACAGGGCAATGTGAGGAGGAAGAATGGGAGATGGTTTCTCCGCCTTTGGAGATGCCTCTACGATGGCGTTCGGATCAGAACGATGAGCCTAGTGAGCCGTTGAAGGTTCAGTTTCCTGGACCTGCGAAGCACTGGACTGATGCTATGCCTATTGGTAATGGCCGCCTTGGAGCCATGGTATGGGGAGGTGTTCAATCAGAGACTCTGCAACTTAATGGTGGCTATTCGATTCTTCAGCTCATTCAAGCTTTGTTTGTGTTTCTTACCTTCCTTTTCGATGATGTTTTTGTATTGGTTGTTCTTTTCATGGGATGCATTCTCTTGTTTTGAATTAAACTGTGCATTTGGCTTGGTTGGGAAGCAGAACTATGCTTTTTGTGTTTTGAATTTTACAGTGTATGCTTTGAATTTTTTAATGATTGTAGTGAATGACTATGTTACAGTGATTACTATTTGCATGAATACAACCCGAATTTGCATGGTAGGTGTTTTGGCTTTTGTGGTGGTTGTTGGCAAGTCTTCAGACGAGCAATGACATCAGTAGCATGGTTGTATTGAATGTTAATTAAGCAACCATTATTGGGAGGAAATGAACATGAAATGCAGGTTACTGGGGACGATGAAAATTCTCATTGGTAATGGAAGTTTTGGACATGGATCTTCTGATTGACCTTTCCAATGCTGGTCATATTCTTGCATAATAAATAAAAAAATAAAAAAAAAATAAAACAATGAGGGAGCCAATGATTGACACCATTGTGAATTATGATTCCAACTGGTGACACCTTCTCTCTTGGTCCAGATGGGAGTAAGATGGTAGGGGATTCCTTCAACCTGGTTAGTTGGGCATGATCAGAATCCCCCTTGCTTTAGATGCTTGCCGACATTATGGAAAATGTAATGGAGCTTAATTGAGGTTGCCTCGGTTCTTTTCCACTATTTCTTAGGGAGTTCACTACTGAAACAGATTCTTTGGCGCATGTGCAGGTGGGGAAGCATTCCCTTTTGATGGGCATCCTTATTCTCATCTGTGATTACCTTAGGCTAGTTCATTTCCTCTTTCTTTCCTTTTCTTCTTTTTCTTGCTCTTCACGTTAGGTATCAATCTATGTCTGAATGCAACTTAGTGTATAGACCATTTGAATCATCAATAATACTGTATTGATAGGCAGTGCCCTGAATCTTGTGAAATTTAATAATCTTAGAGAATTTGTGATTTGTTTGTCGCAATCAACAAGGAAATACAAGAGACATAAAATTTTATGATGGATTTGGAAGAGATGATATTTGAACGGAGAGACACTGCTTGGCCTAAAGGTTTCCATGAAAGGATGGGACCACAAAGAAGTTGGAAGTATATTGAGGCCAGTGAATTTTTTCCTTTGACGTGTAAAGAGTTTGGAGAATCATTTGAAATAGGAATCACAAAATATACTTTCTCACAATTCAGAGTATCTGAGATAGAAAGTTTATTTTATTATGATTCGTTACAAATGGTATATATATGTATGTATACAGTACAATTTCCAGTGAGGGTAAAATTAAAGAAAAGGATGAGATTAATAATTTTAGGGTTAATAAAGAAATATAACGTGTTTGTGTCACACTACAATATATACTTTATATTTTCTCTGTCAGAACTATTAGATTATCACAATTGGATGATAGCTGTAGATTGCGGCCTTTTGGGTTAAAAATGCAAGAAATACTACTGTGTATCTGGAAATGTGCTTTTGGGAACTTATTCACACCAGCAACATCAATTCTGATCTCTGAATATTATGTTAATTCGAAGGACTTCTAATTCTTCCTATTGCCCAATCACTTTTTTTCTCTTAAATCATCAGTATTGTGACTTCTACTTTTTAGCTGCTTAAAATTTTCACTTTAATAAAAGGAAACTTTGGATAGGCTTTATGTTTGACATTCCTACCTTTTATACATTCTCTTGTACAAGTCAACCTCATGGAGTTTATTTGTAAATTGATTGGTGCAGAAGACACTCTTTGGACTGGGGTTCCTGGTGATTATACTGATTCACAGGCGCCCAATGTTCTTTCCCAGGTCCGGGAGCTTGTTGACAAGGGTCAATATCCTGAAGCAACGAAGGCAGCCTTTGGATTGGCTGATCATCCGTCAGATGTATGTCCTTATAAATCTTCTGTGTATTGTCTAGGCAGGAGAGTGATATGCATCTTCTTCATGTAGTACATTTCTTAACTGGCAAGTTGACAGGCTATTTGCATTCAGATAATTGCTTGTGTTTATCTATATTGTTAGATTGAACTACAGTGTAGAAAAAACGGTATTGTTTACTCAATATGGATATTGCTCTCCTATAAACTCAAATGTTTGCTTGCTAGGTTCCCTGAAATTAGCGCTATATCTTCACCTCTATGAAGTCATTTGGTTTTGTTTATTTCTGCAAAAGAAAGGCATTGTCCTAGTGTGAAGGAAGTCGATATATTATGTTAAATATCAGGGTCTTTTGGTATCCTTACGGAAGTGATAATTTACTTAAAGAGAAGGCATCACATTTGTGCTACTTCCAATGCACAACGTATTTTCTTTCATGCCCTGAAATCATAGAGTAAACTTTTGCCAACTCCTGTAGAAGTCAGGATATTCTGACACTTTGAAATAGAACTCAAAGATATTCTAAAGCTTTAAAAATACATATTAACTCCATGAAGGTTGTGTACCTGGACATTGGGGCTTATGTTGTCACTCTTGGATGTGAACTAGTTTTTCATTTGTAGAAATCTTGAATTGCATGTTCATCGTAAAAGTTGGGTCTTATTTTGAGCTTCTTTATTTCAAGACTATTTTCCATCATTTACTAAAAAATTGAGAGCCATTAACTGGGTAAAATCATTAAGATAGCAGTAATGAGGGGGTCATTGGTAGAAATATTTATGTATGTTATATATCCCCCCCCCAAAAACATGCCTATGATGTAATGTCAGAACAATATGGGGAGGCTGGAACCAAATGTCCAACTATCCGAGGGAGATGAACCGACACCCTAACATTTCAGCACCCAATAATAATGTGCATGAACCAGATTTATGATTGTTTTGGTGGTTTTCAAATCACGCTGGGGCTAAAAAGGACTTCAGAAGAGCTCAAAGAGTCTACCCACAGTCAAGAATGAAAGGGGCTCAAAATCATCAAGAACAGATCCAAGTCCCTGAAATACGCTTATTATAGTTATACTTGTGTAATAGAGATGAAAATCATAGCTGGCATAACAAATTTGGCATACGTATTGAATCCAAACCCGATTCAGCCTCTGTCTCTAACCGTGGTCAAGTGTGAAGAAGTCTATAATTAATATTCTCAAGTGTTAAGCTTTGGAGATGATTTGAATTGATCCCATTGTGGGTCAAATAGATCTCAAGATCAAGATATGCTGAAAGGAATGACGCGTATTGTCATTTCTAGCTGAAACTTCTCGGGGTGGCAAAAATGAACTATCATCTTAAAAGGAATAAGCTTTGGAGATGATTTAAATTGATCCAATGAGGGTCAAAGAGAAAGATACTTAAAGAAATGATATATACAGTCATTTCAAGCTGAAAATACTAAAGGTGGCCAAAGTTCGCAGGTGGCTTCTATGCAGTCTTGTGTGTCAATTTTCAAAGCAATAAGCATGGAAATTAATCGAACTATGATCCCAATGTTCAACCCTACTCTGAAATGCAAATTGGTGGTAAATGCAACTTGTTTGATTTATACATCCTGCTGCTTACTGGCAATCAATATTAATACCATCATGTATACTAAATATGAGGTCTGTTTTTTATAAGATCAAACTCAATTATGCACAGCTATAATTGCTTGCATACAAGATTTGCTATGGCGATATCGGCCTTCATGACAATACTTTTGAGCAAAAAGCTCATAAATATGCCTATTGGAGAATAAAGCTTATGAACATGCATTGAAAACAAACATTGACTCTGCCCCTATCCTTCGTCAAAAATAGCAAGAGTAATTTTGCTATAAAACACCAAGTATTTCCTAAAGGACCTTTGTGAGATTTGCATACACTTTTAACAAGTGTCAGCATGATATTAATTGAATTAATCGTGGGTGATTGGGCTTTAAGCTAACTCACCCATAATTGCTCTCAATTGTTGTTACTTCTATGAATTTGTGTTCTATACACGAAAGAAAATTTTCAAACATAAGGATATTAAGAGAGAGCAAGAAAAGAAGAGGTCCAAAGGGTCTTGTTCTATACATATATATATATATATCCAGTTGGGTATATATATATATATTTCAAATTTTAGATTGTGAAACTATTATGTAACACTTAGACAAAAATCTGACCCATGGTATCTATGCTTTTTTTAAAATTTCATCAAAATATGTAACATATTTGTCATTTTTCTAGCAAAAAAACACATCTTTAATTTTAAAATTTTGAATATTATTTTTAATTCATTGGCCAGTTCAATATGACCGAATTGATCGAATCGGTCTGAGTCAACCAGTCAACCACCAGTGAATGACCAATTTGGATAAGAGACTTGATCCAATATTTAGACCTTTAGAATGATTATAAGTTTTTAAAATTTACATACGAACACAAAAATTAATAGGTAAACACCGAAATCTCCATTATTCACAAAAATTAAGCGGAGGGTCGGGCTTGAATTTTTTTATATTTTCAAGTTTGCCCCTTAGTCCATCGTTACCCACATCGATCCGGGTTTATTATAATTTTTTTAATTTTTTTTTTTCAAATGGTAGGGTTATGACCTAAGTTTTATGTCATTTATGGAGCGATCCGCTGTCCTTATTGACTGCTCTAAAGTTTAGACCAGTCTGGTGTCACAAATATTGGACCGTTAAATTTTTTGTTCTTGAACCTGTCCAATAATTAGAGCATCAAATGGCCCCAAATTGCCCTAAAACACATGACACAACCTTATTGTTCGAGAAAGAAAGTACACCGATCCGAGATACCATCGAACCTAGGGGTAGACTTGGAAAAAAAAATTCAGGATTACCAACCCTTTGCATAATTTTAGAAAAAAACTGGATAGTTCAACAGTTTTCTATTAGTTTTTGCATCCATACATTAATTTACCTATAATATTTTCATATTTTTTAGGTTAATAATTATAATAATTTTGTTCACAAAGTGATCACCGGAATATGGGCTCCTGAAAGCGTAGAGTACAAGGAGTGTGCCCGAGGAGGGAGGGAAAGCATACAAAAAGAGCAAAACCACTTTTTCAGGTAAAATAAATGAAAGAGGGAGATGAATTCATAGCTCCCCTTACTCCATAGGGAAGAAGAGAGAAGTTTCAAGCATTTGAAGAGAGAGAGATGGAAGGGAGAATGAGACAGAGAGAAAGAAAGGTTGATGAAAGAGAGAATGAATTAGAGAGAGATAATAATCAAATGGATTTACTCAGTTCCTCTCTTGAGAAGGATAGGCCTGTTCGCTCTCCGTATTTCAGAAGCTGAATAGACATCTGTGTGAAGGGGAAGATTGCAAATTGAATGTGGAAAAGAGGGTTTCTTATGAGCTGAAGGAAAAAGGTTTTGAGAAGATCAAAAGTTAGGGAAGAGGTGAAGGTTGCTAGGTTTCCTCTAAAGAGAAGGAAGAGAGATACAATGAAGATTAAATAGAGAAAAAAGAGTGAAAAAGGGAGTGATGTGAGAGAAAGGAATGATGGGGTGTTACTGCCAGCAATGCCAAAATGTTACATAGTGAAGAAGAATGAGGTTGCAGATTCTCGTAATGGTTTTTTTTTTTTGAGTAAAGTTAACTTTTGTATCGCTTTGGAGTGTTGGAGAACAGAAGAGGGATCTGAGAGTACCCACAAGTTAGATCTCTCGATCAAAAAATATGTCAAAGACCCTATACAAAAAATAGGGGCTTATAGACTTGCCCGGTTACAATAGGTATGCTAAGGTGTTACAAAAAATTGGGGCCTATAGACTTGCCAGATTACAAGAAATGTACCAAGGTGTAACTAAGCTTCGGTGCACCCACTGTTGTTCAGAGTAAAAAAGGAGATGGACAGGGTGAGGTCTTATGTTTGGGCCCTAGCTCCATCTTTCGTCAGAAGATCGGCGAACTCGTTGGACGTCATCTAGATATGCTTCTATGAGATGACCATATCCCTGCAAATGTAAGCAATCTCATAAAAAATCGAAGATAGGTACCATGGAGGTGTTGAAGTTCCGACTGCTCAGGAAATGAAATTTTGGGCATCTCCTTCCACTCAGAGGTTTCCTCTCAGGCACCCAAGTATTGACCAGTCAACATGGTCATATGCTTTCTCCCAGTCTATCTTGAAAATAAGACCCAGTTTCTTAGAAATGTGCCTAGAGTTTAGGCACTCATGTGCCACTAAAGCCCCATCTAGGATTTGCCTATCTTTGATGAAGTCTGACTGTGATGGTGAGATGATAAGGGGAAGGACTTGTTTTAACCTTGAGGCTAGAACTTTGTATGAGGAGTTGAGCAGGCTGATTGGACGAAAGTCCTTTAGTTCCTCAGGCCCTTCGATCTTTGGAACTAAAGCGATGAAGGTGGCATTGATGGCTTTGTGAAGGATTCCCCGTTTGAAGAATTCTTCAAACAAAATCTTGAAATCTGGTCGAAAGGTTTTCCAAAAGATTTTGAAAGGGGCAATGGGGAACCCGTCAGGGCCGGGGGCTTTGTCTTTGGCTAGGTCTTCAATAGCCTTAGAAATTTCATCTTCAGAGAAAGGGCACTCTAGCTAAAGTGCCGAGTGGTCTGGAAGAGTTAAGAAATCGAGATTGGTCATCCTTGGTCTGGGACCGAAAGGGGGCAGTGTAGAGAGTCTGAAAGAAACCAAGGATGGCCGACTCGATTTCCTCAGGCTGATCCAGATTTCGATTGTCCACCTTGATAGTGGAGATAGTATTGTCTCTTCTGTGACAATTAGCTAGCCGTTGGAAGAAACCCGTATTCTAGTCCCCTGCTTTTAACCAGTTTACTCTGGACCTCTAGAACCAATACAATTCTTCTTTTTTTAGAATGGAGAAATATTCCAACTTGGTTTGGGTTCTAAGGTTTGATTCAATGGCTATCAGAGGTTTGGACTCCTCTGTTCGGTCTAGGTCTTGGATGGAGTTTAGTAGAGAGGACT